CATAGGGATTAATAGTTTTTCACTTCTTGAGCGTTTTTCAGTGCTTCGATAGAGTTACAATAGAGTAACAATTATCCCCTGCTAACATAAATGGGTTAAAGGAGAAGTATGAGGAGTGCTTTTCACTCACCTCATAGTTCTAGCCGACCTGTGACAATGAGACTGTCACAGGTCGGCCCAGTAGATCGGGAAGTGAGCGAACACATACCGGCGTTCGCTCACTTCTCGATCAGCAGAGAGCCGTGACAGGGGAGGGACTGGATTCCCCGCTCCGATCCTCCAGCGATGACTGGCGGAACGGACGGGGAGGGGGTGGGTACAGCTGGCTCTGCCTCTAGATAGGCAGGGCCAGCTGTCATTCACCCAGCTGGGCGTATCCAGACATTGTTGGGATCCATTTCAGCTGCGGCGTCTCAGTATACCGCGAGCTGTAGCTCGTGGTATACTGAGCTTAGGATGACCGGAGGACGCTAGTTTGTGTCCTCCCATTACCCTAAGGAGAACTATGGGGAAAAGCCCTAACCCCATAGTTCTCCTTTAAATCATGATCCATAGTACATAATATATACATAACATGTAGTTGTACTATGGATCATTTAACCCATTCATGTTAGCAGGTCAGAATTGTAAATCTATTGCTGCAGTGTATTGGTAATATGTACTGTATATGTACAACATATAGAATACACTGCAGCAGTAGATTTACAATTCTGACCTGCTAACATGAATGGGTTAAATGATCCATAGTACAACTACATGTTATGTATATATTATGTACTATGGATCATTTAACCTGCACATCAATGAGCGTTGCGTCACTGTATGACCTTCTCCCACAATATAGCACACAGCCCCTTTGCAGCCGTCACATGGGGGTGGGTCCTTCAAACCAGTGTGCTGTCACATGGGAGTGGGTCCTTCAGGCCAATGTGCTGTCACATGGGGGCGAGTCCTACAGGCTAGTGCGCTGTCACATGGGGGTGGGTCCTTCAAACCAGTGTGCTGTCACATGGGAGTGGGTCCTTCAGGCCAATGTGCTGTCCCATGGGGGCGAGTCCTACAGGCTAGTGCGCTGTCACATGGGGGTGGGTCCTTCAAACCAGTGTGCTGTCACATGGGAGTGGGTCCTTCAGTCAGTGTGCTGTCACATGGGGGTGGGTCCTTCAGGCCAATGTGCTGTCACATGGGGTGGGTCCTTCAGGCCAATGTGCTGTCACATGGGGTGGGTCCTTCAGTCAGTGTGCTGTCACATGGGGGTGGGTCCTTCAGTGTGCTGTCACACGGGAGTTGGTCCTTCAGGCCAGTGTGCTGCCACATGGGGGTGGGTCCTTCAGGCCAATGTGCTGTCACATGGGGGGGGGTCTTCAGTCAGCGTGCTGTCA